CCCCCCCACCCAACTTGTTTGCATCTCGTCGTCCGCTTCTCGTGGCCATGGAAACGAAGTGAAATGGCAAAAAAGTTACCGTTGTGATTATTAGACCGTTTGCAAACGGTCAAATTCCAACCACTATATATATATATATATATATATATATATATATATATATATATATATATATATATATATATATATATATATATATATATTCTCATTTTATTTTAAATTTTACATCTTTTTAAACATTCTATCTACAATTTTATAAACTTTCTTACTAAAAAAATGGAGCAAAACTAAAACACACAATCAAACACAACCTCGTCTCACAGATTTGCGGGGTATGAAGATTACTCCAAACTTTTATCGTCTCAAGGTTCACCACAAATCTCATACCAAGGCGCAGTTTTCAATCTCGCTTCACCGCCACTACAGTTTCCCAACTCACATTACCTTCAACAAAATCAATTTGGTCAAAATCCAAATATACAACAAAATCTTTTCCATTCTTTTGCTTTCGTTGCAACAACCAACCAATCAACCATCGCCTACGACACAACAATCAGATGAAATGGAAGCGGGAGGTAGTTAGAGAGAGAAAGGGAAATGAAAAGGAAAATTGAAAGAGAAAGCAATAGCGGTAGAAACAAAAAAATGCAAACGCTCCACAATGGTGGACAACGGAGGAGGAATACGCTTTGGCGGCGGCTTGGTGTGGTACTTCAAAAAACGAATTTCGCAGAAACGGAATAAAAAAATCAGCTTATTGGGGGGCGGTGCTCGACAATTTGCATGTTATTTTAAAGAAAATTTTGTATCGCAACAATGACATGTTGAGCTGCAAATTGGGTCAAATAACTAAGCCGTGCAACAAATTCAACGGTATTTACAACCGGCTTGAGGCGCAACAACAAAGCAGAACCAACGATTTCGATTGGTTTAAATCTGCTAAGGAACGATATCGGGTTGAAACGGGTCATGGTTTCGACTTTGAAAAATCATGGGTATTGTTGCAAGCGGATCCAAAGTGGAATAAAACGTCTACTTCGTCGGAGGTTCAATCCAAAAGGTCTCACAATTCTAGCTCGGTCGACGTGTCGGACGCACGGACTAACATCGACCTTAACGCCGACGACGATGAGATCCCGGATGATATCCAAGAGATATCCCCACCACGACGACAACTCGGACGCGACAAAGTGAGGCGAGCTGCAAGACATGTGGAAGAGGTGGAGACGAGAACAAAAGAGGCAGCGAAAATGAGAGCGAAATTCGACGAGAATAATTTATTAATTAACGAAAAAATAAGTTTAAACGTCGTCATTTGGAGTTCCTGGAAAGGCAGATACGGGAGAAGAAGGAGTTAAAACAAAGGGAACTAATCACACATCAGTTGACAATTATTCGGACGAACGAGGAGGGTTTGGCATCTGCTGATCTAGCGGTGCTACAAGCGATAAAGGAACACATTAGGAAGAAATATTTGGGTTAATTATGATTGTTATGTGGTTTTAGTAGTAATTTGAATGATATTTTAGTTATAATATTAGGTTTAAAATTATGTTTTTTTAAATTGTAATCGTAATTTTAGATTTTAAATATTATGTCTTTTTTTTGTTTTTAAAATTTTATGTTTTATAAAAAAAAATATATTCATGTGAGTGATTAAAAAATGCAAAAAGGGAAAAAAACGAAAAAAAAATAAAGAAAAAAACAAAAAAATAAAAAATAAAAAATAAAAAATAAAAAAGTCAATTTCGGAAAAAAAAAACATATTTATTTTCAAAAAGTTGGTGTTGCATCTTGTTGTCCATTTCTCCACTTGGTGTTATAACACCACTTGTTTATGTGGCATGTGAGGTGACACAACTTGGTGTTGCACCTTGTTGCCCACACCCAATGCACTAAGGAGTAGTTTAGGTATCATAAAATTTTAAAAATGGTTTTTGTGGTTGTTAAATTATGTGGTTTAATTCGAAAAAAAATTTAGTGGTGAATCAGTGATTCATTTTTGGATACATGGTGTGGTTTTCGTCTCTATAATTGGGATTTTTTGTGGATTTTGTCTACACCCAACCTAAAATCACTAATATGCCCCTTTAGTAATTATTTTTCAATTTTTTTTTGTTATTTTTTAAGACATTTTAATTATAAAAATAAAAAAATACACACCCCCCCCCCCCCCCTCTTTATTTGTGTATCTCTCCCAGAACGTAGATCCCATTCATCGCTTACACCGTCGGAAACACCCTTTGACTTTTAGTCATCGCCACTACTTCAGCACCCACCACCATCGATCAACACCAACACAAAAAATTGGAGCACATCTATTTCAATTAGTCTCCTTCATATGGGATCAAAAGAGATCCAATAGCAGTGGCCATGGCTGATGATTTTCTCCAAGAACATAAGGCATACATCTATTTCAATTCGTCTCCTTCATATGGGATCAAAAGACCGCCACTGTATACTTCTTTGAGTCCATTAACCCTAAAGTCAGAAATGATATGACCGCACATATATGAAAATCGATTTGATGAAATAGATTGTTCTTGAATGCCCATAAACTTTTTTTAGAGGGTTTTTGCGGTGGTGATGGGGTTTTTGGATATAACAGGTGGTGGTGTTCTTACCTTTCATCTTCTCCGGCTTTGGTGGATCTGAAAACCCTAGTTCCAACAAAAGATTAAAGATAATTGTGCTCCAAATTTATAAAAGAGCAATGTCAAGGGTGGGACAAGTGGTGATATGCCCTTTCGTCGATGACAAAGCAGAGGGGGCAAGAGGTGTAGTTTTCAGGGGGGCAACAACGGTGGGGAGAAGAGGCGGAGTCTGGTGGAGAGGATGCCCTTTTAGGTGGTGGAGAATGATGGCGAAGGTGAGCAAAGTGTTTAGGTGTTCGTTCGTCGGTAACGGTGCAAAGATATATATATATATATATATATATATATATATATATATATATATATATATAATATATATATAATATATATATATATATATATATATATATATATATATATATATATGCATTTTGATAAGCGATCTACAACTGTGGGGAGGTGGCGGCATCTGGCGGTGATGAAGAATATTTTCAGTGGTGTATGTTTGATTAACAGAGGAAACAAATAAACCTCTCTGATCTGGGCTTTCCTTTTTTACTCGATTAGGGTTAAAAGTGAAGAAGAAGATGGAAGAGAGAGAGAGAGAGAGAGACTTAGAGATAAAAAATCATATATATATATATATATATATATATATATATATATATATATATATATATATATATATATATATATATATATATATATATATATATATATATATAGGGTAAAGTGAATATACATAACAACCTTATATAAGCTTAGGTACCTAACCTCATCAAACTAGATCATTTTGCATTAAATTTTCATTGCAATCATGCAAGCTTCTTAAACTTTATCCCTAAACTTGATTTACTTCAAAAAAATTTGGAAATTCATCATTATATTTCTTCTACATCATTTCATTTGTAGCGGTAAGATATGAAGCATATCAGGCGGTATTAAATAAAAATACGTGATGTAAAAGAAAGATATTGGTGAAAGTCCAAAGATTTTGGAAGTAATAAAGTTATGGGGTTGAAGTTTAAGAACCTTAGGCAAGTACAATGTAAATATGATACAAACCGATATAATATTATTGAGTTAGGTACCTATGTTTATATAAAGTTGTTAGGTATATTTACTTTTCATATATATATATATATATATATATATATATATATATATATATATATATATATATATATATATATATATATATATATATATATATATATATATATATATATATATATATATTTGAAACCACCAATATAACATAATAATAAACTACAATTTACGTGGGTGACGACACTTAAACATCAACCTCAAAAAGGATGACAATACGGATACCACTAAACTAGATGTTTTTTGGTAACCTTATAGTAATATGTAAGAGTGAAGTAATATATAAGAGTGAAAGATAACATTAGGAAGATAAAGCTATCAAACCATGCAGATAAATTAAATTGATTTCTACATTGTATGCTTACAAATATTCATACCCAATTAAATTATGACAAGTGTCATCATTCCATATTTTTTTAACTAACTCATCAATGATATATTAGGAATATATCAATTAAAATTAAATTAAATGATGATATGTTATAATTTTAATAGGTAACAATAATTGTAGATATAAAAAATAGGAGGTAATTTAATTTTCTCAACCATGCATTGATGGATTTTCTTCAAAAGCTCGTATCACTCTAACTTTAGGAAGATATTGCTATCAGCATCTAATAAACATGAAACTTATGTTTGGGACATAACGATAATTACTCAAGATATACGTCGTATTAATATTGATTTGACTGATTATATTACCACACTTGTCCCTAATTATTTGGGATAACCCCATTTCATGCACGAAAACGACAACATGAAAGAGTCATAGAGATTATGAATATGATATTTTTGGACTAATCATAGTCCCATACTGGATATTGGATATGGTAGCAATAAATGCATAGTCCCATAGATAAAGTTTCGCAAGCAAATATAAGAGTAAGCATTTATTAGACGATTTAAGTAGTTGAGTATAATGAGAACGACTGGCAGATTATAAGTTGGACTCTTGTTTGGTTATAATCATTTAATTATTTTAGCTTATATTATATTATTAGTTTTACTAAGGCAGGTAGGTATATCTTCTCAATACGCTGGACTAAAGATCATCTTTTTAACCGAAAAATTAACTGAACCAGTTAATAGTAATCGTCCAGTTTTGGTTCTTATTTTAGGGTTTATTTGGTTTCCAATTTCTTGTTCTGGTTCGGATCTGAACACCTTTTTAAATAGTGTATTTCTTATTAGAAACAAACTGAACCATTACTGAACCGAACCGAAACCAGTTAAAACTAGTTAGTGATATTCACTTTTTAGTTTACAGCTTATTCGAATTTTATTTTTTCCGTTCCGATCCGGTTCGATCCAGTATACATGCCTACGGTACAATCAGTGGGTGCAGTGTATACCACACCGAGTGGGTGAGATGGTGTGCGGTGAGCCGTGAACCCCTCTATGGGTAAGAGGAGTGAAAGGTGATCATTTTCTACTGATAAAAGAAATAAACGAATAATAAAAGTGATATTATGTGACCATGAATCGATTTAGAAAAACGATAAATAAATAAAAAAACAAATACTAATAGTTCAAACCCTAAAACGTAGTTTCTTTAAAAACCGTTTAACATAGTTTATTCAAAAGTTTAATAATTTTTTCACAAGTTTTTCTGAAATATTACTTATATTTCACAGATTTTCTAAAGGTTTTGTTACGTTTTATCTTTGCCATCATTTTCTAACGATATAATTTTAATTATATTAAACATGATCTTAAACCCTCTAAAATCTTTTGGTTATATATGATAAACAACGCCACAAGCACACTAAACGACTTGAATAGTAAATAATATACACTCAAGAGGCAAACCTGCATTAAAACTAGTGGAGAGAAAGGCAAATCGGGACCAAGGACTTGGTTAGTGACAAGAAGCTTGTATTTTGAGTCATCTTTTGACTCAAGCCACTCATCAAGGCTCATTTTGCACCGAGCCTCGATCAACCGAACCCCACAATCATTGCACTTGATATAAGGTCGACCTGAGTCATCCCTCCTTAAACGACCACAAGGGACAAAGGCATGACATGTCCAATTGAACAAGGTTTCCTTAATGTTGATGATGGTTAACCCTTCGAATGCTGGGCTTCTGAAATAGTAAACGGTTTTGAGGTAGTGAAGCTTCATGGCTAAGTCCATGCCAGTTAGCTCTTGAACCACACCATGACCAGATACGCGCCCTGGTCCAACAGTAGAGATCTTGATGTCATAAATCGGGCTTTCATGTTTTGACAACACCATTTTTGTGTAGGTTGAAAAAGAGTAGGGATGAGAGATTTTGTATGTTGGGTTTGGTATGATGTGTGTGTGTATATATAGACAAAACTGCCCTCTTATCTGCCTTTTTACTCTATTATTTTTTAGGTGTTCGTGGTTAATAATTCAAGGATATATAGATATGATTGATGGTGTACAGTTGTACCTCGAAACTTTTGGTATAAAAGTTTGATTTACGTTAAAAACATACATGTTTCATATCACTAATTAACCTGGTAATTGCTCAATGATTTGAAGTTTGAATAATGCTAAATGTTAAAAGGATAATATAAAATAAGTTAGATTTTGTAAAAGGATTATGCTAAAAAAATGTTAAATAGGAAAACATGAAAAGAAAATATGCGAAGACAATTATCATTAGTAGAAAACGTGCAATTCTTGAGATAAAATGAAATAGAAAGAATATTATTAGTTTGGACATATGACAGTATTATGTGCCATAATAATTACTACTTGAATTGTAATTTTGAAATTGTATTGCAAGATTTTATTTTATCTGTTATGAGTTTAAAAAATTGTGATTAATTTTTTATTTAAAAAAAGATCATTTATCTGATTAAATGCTACAAGACGAAAAGGATATGGTATTAGTTGACCAAGCTGTCATTTCAAAAATTGAGTTTTTTTCATTAAAGCGAACTATTATTAATAGAAAAGGATTTTGAAATATTATGGGGCATATATGATTCGGATCAGGTTCAAATAATCGGTTAGGTATAGCTACTTTTCTACTTTAATTTATTATTAGATATTATTGTGATTTTTTAAGAGCAACTTGAGCAACCAAAAATTATTAATGAGTTATAGCCAAAAGAACATTTTACATCCAAGTTTCCCGGTTTATTTAAAGCTTTTTCCTTTTATTACACGTCCAAATCCAAATGAAAAAATGATAATATCATTAAAAATATCCGTTTTTTAAGGTCAAGTGGTTTCAAAAATCAGGTTAGTTCTGTTAGAAATTTGGGTGTAGAAAGGCTTGGAAATTCTGAGAATTGTGATTATCACTTTCAAATCGAAATATTTGGTAGTACTCCCAAATCTTCAATTGGATAAGACTCACAGAGACAAGAACCGAGAATGTTTGATGATATTTTCGTACGTACCAGAAAATAAGACCAAAACCAAGTTTTTTATCTTTATCTGAAAACTGTCATATGATAGTTTTAAACTGTCATAAAACCATAAAAACTGTCATAAAACGGATATATGGATAAGGGTCAAACCAATGGTCAATTATCTGAAAAATCGATCCCAGCCAGGGGCTCTACCCCTTGGATCCCGCCAGGGGCTACCGCCCCTTGGACCCCGCTCCCAGGGGCGCTGCCCCCGGACCCCCGTTCGTTCAGGGGCTTCGCCCCTAAATGACAGTGTACTTTGAAACTTGATCAAACTTAAACAAGTGTGTACTCCACACCTTCCTTACTTGTTTAATATTTATCAAGATCATTTTTGGTCAACACAAAGTAATCTCCTTAAACTTAAATAACATTGATGATCAAAATCACCAACAAACCCCCCCCCCCCCCCCCCCCATTTAAGTGTAATATTGATTAACTTAAATGAAACATAACAACAACAAATTGATGCATAAATGAAATGTCGTGACGATTGAATTTCACATTAGTATATTATTCATTCCAAATATCCGAATATTAGGGTGTCACTATGGATTGAACCCTTTCTATTCATAGTGAATACATGAAGATAATACACACAATAATTTACATTCTCATAAGTTCTAACTTGACACTATATTTTACTAGCTTGTATCCCATCCTTCAATAAGTATATCAAAGTCAAGTCCCAACTTCTTGAAGCAGCTAAACTTCATACTTATATAGGTAGTTCTTTTGTTCTTGCACCTGCAAATGCAATTTTTCAAAGAACTATTAAGAAATAAAACTTCAACCTTCTTAACTTGTAGTACTGAACACATACCTTGGGATGATGATAAAATGTGTCCCAATCTTCAAATATCAAGCTTTCCACATTGACTTCAACATCTAATATTACATTAGATGTGAATTGGGTATCTCAATATAAAATATTTTAAGTGGACTTCAAACCCATCCCTACAGCCGCCTTGTGCACAAGATTTCTTGCTAACCCTTTGGTTAGATGATCAGCCAAATTCAACTGAGTTCTTACAAACTCCACAGATATCACACCAGTCATGATGAGCTCACGAATCATGCTATGTCTAACACCTAAATGTCTAGACTTTCCATTGTATACTTGACTATAAGCCTTAGCCAAAGTTGCAGCACTATCACATCTGATAGAAATGGTAGATATCGGTTTGGGCCATAATGGAATTTCATAAATCAAATTCCTTAGCCACTCAGCTTCTTTACCAGCAGCAGACAATGCAACAAATTCAGATTCCATAGTTGAGTTAGTAATACAAGTCTGTTTCTTGGATGCCCAAGAAATGACACCTCCTCCAAGAAGAAACACCCAACCACTAGCAGAAGAGTGATCCTCTAAGTTGTTAATCCAGCTGGCATCTAAATAACCTTCCAAAACAGAAGGATATCCACTATAAGTTAAACCATAATTTATGGTCCCTTTCAAATACTTGAATACTCTACTCACAGCTTGCCAATGATGTGAACTAGGATTACTAGTAGATCTACTAAGTCTTCCCACAACATAAGCTATATCAGGTCTAGTACTAATCATGGCATACATTAGACAACCAATAGCCCTTGAGTATTCAAGTTGAGACACTAGAGATCCTTTATTAGGTAGAAGCTTAAGACTAGGATCTATAGGAGTGCTAACAGTAGAACAATTCTCAAAGTTAAACTTTTTCAATATCTTCTCTAAATAATGAGATTGAGAAATTGAAATCCCATTTTTTCCTTTTCTAATTCTTATACCAAGAATTACCTCAGCCTCCCCCATATCTTTCATATCAAAACTAGACAATAAGACTTTCTTAGTTTTATCAACTTCTTCCAAATCAGTACCAAATATCAACATATCATCTACATATAAACAAATCATGACTCCTTTACCAGAAGTATCAAATTTGCTATATACACACTTGTCAGCTTGCTTTAATGCAAAACCATTAGACAAGACAACATCATCAAACTTTTGATGCCATTGTTTTGGTGCTTGTTTCAAACCATATAATGATTTCTTCAATTTGCACACCTTATGTTCATTACCAGGCATAACAAATCCTTCAGGTTGTTTCATGTAGATTTCCTCATCTAAGTCACCATTCAAGAATGCAGTTTTCACGTCCATTTGGTGAATCACAAGATTATGTATAGCTGCAAGAGCTAACAATAATCTAATAGTGGAAATTCTAGCAACAGGAGCATAAGTATCAAATAAATCAATGCCTTCTTTCTGCCTAAAGCCTTGGATAACCAATCTGGCTTTATACTTATCAATTGTACCATCCACCTTCATTTTCCTTTTGAGGATCCACTTACTTCCCAATGCCTTGCAACCAGGAGGTAAATCTGACAATACCCAAGTATTGTTATGCATGATAGAATCAATCTCATCCTGAATTGCTTCTTTCCATAAATGAACATCCCTAGAACCCATAGCTTCACTAAAAGTCTTTGGATCCTCCTCAATATTAAAACAATATTGATGTTGACATATAGTCTCATTCCTTATTCCTTCAACTAGATAAAGTTGAAAATCAAATCCAAACGACTTAGCTTTTCTAGCTCTAGTACTCTTTCTAAGTTCAGGCACAGAACTTGTACGCCCAGAATCATCTCCAGCTTGAGTTGTGTTTTTGTTGAAAGATTGTTGAATCATGTCCCTTGGTCTAGGTATAGATGTAAATCTTTCTTCATCAAAGATAGCATCTCTTGACTCTATAACAGTGTTAACAGACACAAAGTCATCAGATTCTAAAACATAGAATCTATAAGCTTTGGAATGCTCGGCATATCCAATAAAGATACAATCTATACCTCTCTCACCCAATGTTTTCCTTTTGGTTTCAGTGAGCCTTACAACTGCTCTGCAACCCCAAACTTTGAGATAACTCAAATTTGGTACCTTTTTACACCAAAGTTCATAAGGAGTATTCTTACTCCTTTTATTTGGAGTTCTGTTCAATATGTAACATGCAGTTAACATTGCCTCACCCCAAAACCCTTCACTTAATCCAGAATAAGACAACATGGAATTAACCATTTTTTTCAAAGTCCTATTCTTTCTTTCAGCTACACCATTTTGTTGTGGTGTATAAGGAGCTGTGGTTTGATGTATTATTCCAGTTGGTTCAAAATAAATTGGATCATAATACTCACCACCTCTATCAGTATGCAAGACTTTTATTAATTCATTTTTATGAAGCTCAACTTGTTGTTTATAAATTTTAAATTTATCAAGTGCTTCATCCTTATAATGTAGCAAATAGACATAACAATATCTAGATGCATCATCAATAAAAGTAACAACATACTTTTTGTTTCCAAGGGAAGGTGTTGCATGGAAATCACATAAATCACTATGTATTAGATCCAACACCTTGCTTTCCCTAACAACATCTTTGAAAGGTTGTCTAGTGATTTTAGTTAGCATGCATTTTTTACATTTTTCATTATTTTGCATATCAAAGGAAGGAATTAAACTCATTTTAGACATGTCTTTTAATCTTTTGTAATGAATGTGTCCTAGTCTAGCATGCCATAATTCATATTTATTAAAATTATTGCTAGTACTAGTAGAAGCCATGCAAACAGAATTATCAATAAAAAGATAATTAATATTTAGCCTAATCATTCCATTACATACATATCCAAATCCTATTAAAGAACCATGTCTTGACAAGATATACTTATCACTTTCTAATACTTGTTTGTAACCACAATTATTTAATACAATTTCAGACACGAGATTCTTACGAATCCCTAGAACATATAAAACATTATTCAAACACAAACATTTACCAGAAGTAAAAGTAAGTAAAACAGATCCTA